CCTGGCTACCACTGTCAACCACTTGGAGGGGGATCTATGTAGGAGATCCTGGATAGAGAGGGAGAACAATGTGGAACAAAACTCAAAATCATTTGTAGGGAAAAAAAAAAAGGGAGGAGGGACCAGGTTTGCTGGTCCAATAAAGCCTGGTGGAACCAGTGAGACTATGACCCCTAGGTGTCCTTCAGGTCTGGAATTGAACCCATACTTGTGGCTTCCAGCCAAATAAAAGAGAGGCATATGAGATGAACATTTACCTGAGGTAGATACACTCGTTGGAGAGAGTAGCCATGAGAGAAAGAAGGGCTGCACAGGGAGACAGCTCAGGGGCAGGAGTGCATGGAGGGATGGACACAGGGAAGAGATAATTATCGGGAGGAAGTGGGAGGGGAGCTGCTGCACTGTAGTAAATTGTGGTCAGTATCATGAGACAAAGTGAATGTGAACTGCTGTATGGAAAGTGAATTTGCTCTGTAAATTTTCACCCAAATCACAGTTTAAAAAAAACAAAACAAAACAAGAGCAAAATTAACCCAAAACAAGAAAGAGAGAAATCATAAAGAGCAATGACAAATGATGTGAAAAAGAAACAGAGAACATTATGTAACTAAAACCTAGTTTTAAAAAAAAAAAAAATCAGTTAAAATGACAAACCTCTAGGAAGTCTGACAAAGTAAAAAAAGAGAAGATACAAATTGATTAATATGAGAAATGAAATGGAGGATATCACTAAAGACCTCGAAGCATTAAAAGGTTTACTACAGGTAAGAAGGAGGGAAGAAGGAGTCATTGCTGAGGGCCACTGAGTTTCTGTTAATGGTGGTAACACAATCTGGAAAAAAATAGTGATAATGGTTGCACAACGTGATGAATATAATCAATGTCAGTGAACTGTACATATAAAAATTATGGAATTGGCAAATGTAAAAAAGAAAGGAAAAAAAAATGTATTAGTAAGAGGAGACCAAAAGCTATTTTCTTAAAATATGTTAGAAAAAATTGGTATCTGCCCAAAAAAAGCTGGGATAGAATTCTGTCCCAATCTGAGGAACTTTCGAGCTCTCTTCTACGACAACTCTGTGATTTTATTATCCAATGACCACTCCTACTACTATTAACAAAACTGTTGATGACAATGATAATTACTACTAAACAGTTATCTGCCACAAATTGTATTAGGTACATTACTAATGTTACTCTACTTAACCTTTGTGACAATCCTGCAGTTAGGTACTATTATCCTCATTTCATAGGTGAAGAAACAATGGTAAGCAAGATGAAGCAATATGTGTCCAAGGTCACTAAGATATAAAGCACTAACATTAGGATTCACGCCAGATCTTCCTAATTCAAAGACAATTTTTAGCCATCAAAGTCAAAGTGTAAATCACAACAAGACTCTCAATTTTTTCATTTTAAAACAAAATGGTATATAATTCATCAAGGCTTTGGTTTCTGTAATAACTTACAAGAAATGAAAAATTATATCAGCTTGGTGACTGACAAATCTAGTTACACCAATTAAGTATCATGCCATTGCTAGCTGTCACAGTTAACATAAAATCACTGCAGAAGCAGCTGTGATAGAGTGGCTCATAGAGAGGGAAAAGTATTAAATAATGGTGAAGAAAATTAGTTTTAGTTATTTAGGAACTAAAGTAAAAGCCACCATCAGCACTTTTGAAGTCTGTGATAGCTGTGTTTTTGTTAACTTGGTTGGGCCTGGTTTTGAGTGGCTGGGCAGCTGGATGTGGTTACTTCCCATGATGAGAGTGGTAATTAACTTCCTGGTGCAATCTACTGGAGCAGCTGAGTAGCTGCCTTAGGGACGTGGTCTTCTTCCAGTATGTAAGAAGACAGTTTGAGAAAGGTTTCTGGAGTTTTTGGCACGCTTGGACCTTGTATTTGTCTGAGTCTTTATCTCAATGGTCTGCCATGTTGTCTGCCAATCCTGGGACTGTTAATGGACTTGAATTAGTGGCCTGCTATGTTGTTTGATAATCTTGGGGCTGTGCTATTTTATTTGTCCATCTCGAGTTTGTCAGCCTCAGCAGCCAGCAGCTGCCTTACTTAAGAGAAACCTCCAGCTCCAGTGGCCTGGAAGAAATAGGCAGAGCTGAAGCTTAAAGTCTAAAGGCTTTTATCCAGCCCCTAGAGCTGGCACTCTGACCTTGGACTTCTAGCCTCCTAAACTGTAAGAGAATAAATTCTTGTTTGCTAAAGCCATACATTTGTGGTATGTCTGTTAGAGCAGTATTACAGAACTAAAACAAAGTTTTTAGTACTTTTTTAAAAATCTCTACTGGAATGCTTAAGCTTGAGAACAATTCAAATAATAGGGCAGGTAAAGGGGCATGGGTCCAGTACAAAATCCAAAATATCTGTCTTCAACTTTCAGATAAAGTGAAAACAGTCTGGTTTTTGTTTCCTATAAGCTTCAGAGTAACCATAGGACATCATTTCTGAAAATAATGATGTGCTCAAAAGTGTACATTATAAGCATTCTCTGCCAATACCACAACTTTCTGAGTACCAAGACAAAAAAATCTCATGGGATCTAGGCAGTAATACTGTTTTTTTTTTTCTTTTTTTCTATGCTATAGAAAAGCTTATTGCAACTTATAAAACAAAAAGTGACTGCCCAAATTTAATCTTCCTTTACTAGGATGCATGTAAATTACATTGCTTTTAATGTTGAAATTTTTTAGACTCATCTGTTCTTTATTCTTCCTTCTTACCTGGCCTGTTAGTGGCTGCCATAATGAAAACCTGCTGCCGTGTTTCCAGACCATCCATCTCTGTAAGTAGCTGATTCACCACTCGGACACTTGCCCCTGCCTAAACAGAAATATAATTCTATCAGCTCCCAATAAGAAAGGAAAAAAAGCACACAATTATTTCCATATAAAAATAATACATTCTCTAACCTGAATGAAAGTCAAAGAGATGACAACAGTGATCATTTTCCTGAGCACTCACTATATTCAGGCATTGTGCAAAACATGCTCTCATCAACCTTCTCCCACCTCCCAGAAGTCCTGTCATTATCCACAGTTTAGACAAGGAAAATGAGGCTTATGTTATTTGTTCAATGTCCTATAGCTAGATAAAGGTAGAGGCAAAACTAAAGCTCAGGTCTAGCTGACCTCAAACTCTTATGCCTCCATGTTATTCAAAGATCTAATAGCCACAATGTACTTTCCTTTGGGCTCAATCTAGTCTTGGCTTTTGAACTCCAGACCCAGAGTATCAGGTCTTCCAGATCTTTCAGCTCAGTAAGTACAGGAAGATCTGGGACACTGTGCTTTTTTCTTTTTCCTTAAAGTGCAAGCTAGCATCCAAAAGAAAAGTTCAGGGAGTTGGTAATTAGAGGTATACATTGGTTAGATACAGAAAATATAGACAAGTGAGAAAAGTGCAGGAAATGAGAAAAGTGGTGCTGTTTCTTTTTGTCACTGATTGGCTTTCTGCAACATAAATGTTATGTAAGTGTGGCACATGTGCATGTGGTAAGGGTATATTTGATGTACCTCATTATCACTCCTTGGTGGCATAATACTAATAATAAAGAGATTAAGTGACTCATAATCCAGATTCAAGAAAATAACTAATTTTTAGGTTATAAAAAGCACACAAAACATTCTCCTATCTAAAAAAGATAGAAAAAAATCTCAAAATCACTAAAGGAAAAGGTTGGTAGAATTTATTAAAATTATAACATTCTATATAATATATAAAATTGAAAGTGAGAGTTGTTATTGCTATTCTTGCCAATTCTGACTCATGTTGACTCCAGGTGCACAGAGTAGAACTGCTCCATAAGGTTTACAAGGCTATGAACTCTTGGAAGTGGACAGTCAGGTCTTTCTTGCAAGGAGTCTCTGGGAGGGTTCAAATCATCAACTTTTTAGCTAGCAGTTGAATGCTTAACCCTTTATGTCCCCAGGGACTCCTAAGTGACAGACTGGGGGAAAACAGCACCAAAACACATTACAGGGCAAAGGACTAATGTCCATCTTATGTAACAAGCTCCTATAAACCAACTTTTCAAAAATTCCAGTAACAAAATGGTCAAAGGGTATGACCAGGCAATTCAGAGAAGATGCAATACAAATTTACAGAAGATGGTCAACCTCACTGGTGATCCGAGAAATGCACAGTAAAATTTAACATCACGTTTTGCCAACAAAATTGACAAAAAATAAAAAATGGATATTACTGATTGTTGGTAAAGGTGTGGGAAATGGTTATTTTTGCACACTATTGGTGGGCATATGTACTTTGTGGATTTTGTGAAGCAACATAGAACTATTTTTTAAAATTTATTACATACACATCTTCAAATCTGAAATTCCATCTTCCAAAATTCTCACATTCTTCCACATGTGCAAAAAAATATGATACAAATGTTTATAATTCTGTTTGTCAGAGCAAATAACTAGTTGTTGTTGTTATGTGCCGTTGAGTCAGACCCAACTCATAGCAACCCCTCCTTGGGTTTCTGAGGTGGTATCACTATGGAAGTAGATTGCCCAACCTTCCTTCCAAGGAGTGGCTGGTGGGTTTGAACCACCAGCCTCTGGTTAGCAGTCAAATGCCTTAGGCACTGAGCTACCAGAGCTCCTCAAATGACTAGAAACAATGTAAATGTTCACAGTAAGAGAACTGTTAAGTAAATTCTACTTTCATCCAGACTGTAGAATATCATGTAATAGTTAAAAAAAGATAAAGTTATTCAATGCATGGGAAAATCCTCAAAATAGAATGACCATAATTAGATGAAAAAAGAAGCCTAAATGTTACAGGTTTTTAATTTATAGACAGAGTTCTAGAATGATAAATACCAAACACTAAACTGTTAGCAGTAGTAACCTCTGAGGGCAGTAATGGAAAGGAGAATAGGAAGAGCTAGCTCACTGTCCATATCTGTGTTTTATATGAAATTTCCCCCAGCATGTATTCATTTACAACTTATATAATACAGAAATAATACATTCAAATTTAAAATATCTCCAGATTCCCCTTTGGGTGAAAATGTTAGAAAAGCAAACCACATGTATCAGAATATGGAAATGTGGTAGCAGATATCCAAGAAAGAGATGCCCCAGAAGTCAGCAATGTTCTCAACATGCTGCAGACTCCTCTGAGGACTGTAGTGACTAGACAAACTTCAGCAAAGCCCTACAAATTTAGACTCACCACCTGGTAACAGAGAGCTACAAACCAATAAAGGGGGTATGAACAAGTGAAGGGTTTTTCACTGGCAAAAAGAAAAAAAAGGGGGAAGAGAGGATTAAAAGGAGTAAAATCTACAGTATTTGTAGCTGGGGCTGGTAAATCAAAGTATAGTGTTTTGCTCTGGATCCTAAATTCGATTTAGGAATATGATAGCCTGCAAGGGAACCTGGGGAAGAATCTCTGCCTCAGCCTCTAACGCTTCTATCAGAGACAATACACTAATAAGGAATTTCTGTTACGGTGTCAACAATGACTGGATCAAGAAATAAAGTCACTATGAGTCATACTTGTGGTCTAGTCAATTTTTGTTTTTTGCAGCTTTTGAATGTTTCTGGAGATTTTTTAGAGAAATGAGGCATGTAATGTTTCACAATCTAAGAAAACACAAATACAAATAGCTATTTGAAATTAAATCACGAGTGATTTCCCAGATTTCAGAAATATAATCACCTCCTCAGTCATCTTATAATAAATGAACTCATTTAATAATCTTTACTATCTTTCTGAAGTAGATTTGTTGTTGTTGTTGACCGCATATAACAACAACAACAAATCTACTTCAGAAAGATTATATATGTATACATGCACACATATAGATACACATACATACATACATATATATATACACACACACACACACACACATATAAACTGTTTTTTCCCTAAAAATTATATATGTGTGTGTGTATATGTTTGTTTCTTAGTAATGGTGTCACTGTGAGGAAGAACAAAATGGAGGTGGGTGGGGAAAGGGAAACCATCAGGAAACAAATATCTGTGAGAGGTGGTCCTGTCCCTCCCCATTCTGGGTGCCTAGGGGCGAAGGGAAAAGGCAGGGCATAACTGATAAAGCTAATGAGTAGAGAAAAGGCATTGTTGTTGTTTTGTTATCTTGTTAGGTGCCCTGGAGTCATCTCTGACTCATAGTGACCCCATGCACAGCAGAAGGAAACACTGCCTGGTCCAGTGCCAGCTCCAACATCTTGCTATACTTGAGCTCATTGTTGCAGCCACTGTGTCAATCCATCTCGTTGAGGGCCTTCCCCTCTTTTGTCAACCCTCTACCTTACCAAGGCACTGGTGGGTTATATCTTGCACTGGCGAGAGGTAAAGCCAGGGGCTCCTTGGCACCCAGGCCTTTTCCTTCCCTTTCTTGGCTTTAGTCTTGAGGGGTGCAGGGCTTCATCACGAGGATGGTCTCCTAGCACTGGGCATTACACCATGCATTCTTCAGGTTGTGCTGGTGGGCCTTGGTGCCTGTGCCCCCATCACACGCACCTTATCTCTCAAACTTGTACTTGCAGTCAGCTCCAAACGCTTGCAGCATACTCTATACCGCATGCACTGAGCCTGGGCCCCACAGGTGCCCTCACTGAAACACATGAGCAGTGTCTCCAGGTCCACTCTTTGCATTCACTCCCCAGGTCACCCTTCTTCGCTTGAGTTTCTTTTTGGCTACCATGGAAGTGAATGCCAATCGAGGAGGAGTTTGATGCTGATGGTACATCTCACTTGCTTCGCTCCCTCTAGTGCTGGGGTACAATGTTATACATTCTTTATATTTTGCTTCACACTACATTTCAAATGATTATACAATATTATCTCTGAAAACAATTTTTGCATACTCTCTGTACTGAAATCCCTAAGAACTGTGACTCAGGTATGTTGTTGTGTTGTTATGTGCCATCGAGTCGAACCCAACTCATAGCGACCCTTCCTTGGGTTTCTGAGGTGGTATCACTATGGAAGTAGATTGCCCAACCTTCCTTCTGAGGAATGGCTGGTGGGTTTGAACTGCCAGCCTTCTGGTTAGCAGTCAAGTGCCTTAGGTACTATGCTACCAGAGCTCCTGTGACTCAGGTATTGCTGATGCAAATGTCTTTCAATCTAGAGCAGTTTTGTATCTCTCAGCCAGTAAAGGTATCAGGTCTTAAGCTAATTACCTCACTTATTTTGAGTGTAGAGTCCTACAGTGGTGCAAAAGATTATATGCTTGATTAATAACCAGAAGGTTGATGGTTCAGACCTACCCAGGGGCTCCTCAGAAGTCTTAAAAATCTACTAAAAAATCAGCCACTGAAAGTTCTATGAAGCATAGCTGTACTCTGTGACACATGGGGTTGTCATCAGTCTGAATCAACTCAGCAGCAGCTTTTTTTTTTCCCCCTGAATATACAATGTCTTAAATTACCTTCTGTCCTGTCTGAAGACCCCATTCCCATTCCCAAATCCTAATGTGTATGCATCAGGATTTCCAAATACTATGTGTGGTACAGTGAACTGCTTAGAATGGCCCCTCTAGCCAAACTCCTTTTAATTTCCACCAAATGATGGGTTGGGGTTATGAAAATATGAGGTGCTTACAGCCCACAAAGGCGACTGGACAGCTCTCTAATAATGTCAATAATGTGCATGGCACCCTTTTGTGGGTATGACCGTGGGAATAAGGTGCACAGAACCCTAATATGGGGTTTGGTCAGTTTTGCCATCTCACTAGGCTTAAAATGAGCCATCCTGTAGGCAGAAAAGGGGAATCTCATGACCATCAAGAAAGAAGAGACAGGAGTGGAACATGTCCTTTGGACCCAAGAGTCCTGCGATGAGCTTCCTCAATCCAGGGAACAGAGAGCTGTGACAAAAGAGATAGCAAAAAGCGGTGGCAGCAGAACCAAGAGTGGTGGGCTTCTTGGCTCATGAAGTAGAAAGCTGAGTGCCTTCGGGGAGGTTTGTGAGCTCTGGACATTTATTGACAGAGGTAAAAGAGCCCAGGGCAGGGCAGAGACCAGGCTGAGGGGCAGAGGGCTACAGAGAGACCTGCCTTTGGGCATGGCTGAATGGAGGCTGTGCTCATAAAACAAGTGTATCCTGAGCATTCTGGATCCTGAATTGTAACCTGTTACTTTCCTAATAAGCCCCCAAATTTTGAGTAATGTCTGTGAGTTGTGTGGCCACTGCAACAAATTACTGAACCCAGCAGAGAAGCAGAGAGTGCCATGAGAGGGATAGTTGGTGTCAGAATCGGTAAAAAGGTTGGAGGGTGGAGGCATGTCTGATCTCTGTCACATAAGAATAAGCTTTCAGCTGTTAATTTTGATTCTCCTCTCCACTTGTGAAGTTAGAGGTCAGACGTCAGCCTCATGACATTTTTACACTACATAACCAAAATAATATACAGAAAAAGAAAAAATTGATACAGAGGTTAAAAACAATAAATGTCATCTCTAAGCCCTGATTTCAAATGACTAAATTCCTCACGTAAAGAGTTGCAATGTTTCCAAGGAATGACTTTATAAGTACCTGATTTAGAACTTATAAAAAAAGGTTTCTGGCACTTAAAATAATCTGAAAATCTATGATACTTACCTCTCGGTCTGATCTTCGGGGGCATAAGGCATCCACTTCATCAAAGAATATCACACAGGGTGCTGAGTTCTTGGCTCGTTGAAAAACCTCCCTCACAGCACGTTCACTCTCACCCACATACTAAACACAAACAGAAAGGAAAGAAAATGCAGACAGTTAAACTTTGGGGTTTGGACCAAATTATAGTAAAACCAGGTATAAATGACAGTTATGTCAGAGTCTACAGAGACTATAGCCTTTAGTATGGATTACACCTCAACATAAAGAAAACAAAAATCCTCACAACTAGACCAATAAGCAGCATGATAAATGGAGAAAAGACTGAAATTGTCAAGAATTTCATGTACTTGCATCCACAATCAATGCCCATGGAAGCAGCAGTCATGTAATCAAACAATGTATTGCCCTAGGCAAATCTGCTGCAAAAGACCTCTTTAAAGTGTTAAAAGCAATGATATCACTTTGAAGACTAAGGTGCACCTGACCCAAGCTATGGTATTTTCAATTGCCTTATATGTATGCAAAAGATGGACAAGGAATAAAAAAGACCAAAGAAGAATTGATGTCTTTGAATTATGGTACTGGTGAAGAACACTGAATACATTATGGACTGACAGAAGAATGAACAAATCTAACTTGCAAGAAGTACAGCCAGAATACTACCTTGGCATGTTATCTGGGGGGACTAGTCCCTGGAGAAGGACATCATGCTTGGTAAAGTATAGGGTCAGTGAGAAAGAGAAAGACCCTCAATGGCATGGATTGACACAATGGCTATAATAATGGGCTCAAACACAGAAAGGACTGAGGACGGTGCAACTGGGCAGTGTTTCATTCTGTTGTACATGGGGTCATTAGGAGGAATGGACTCAACGGCACCTAATGCATGTATGAGTCAAAATAGTATCAGGTCAAACCATATGCAATTGCTAGCATTTAATAATTTTTTAATCTAGAGAAACTGCCAATTGCATACAGTTCAACTTACTAAAATGGTATTTTGGAACTGATCTAAGCCGTATGCATCTAAAATATACAGCAGTAATTTTCATTAATTCATCAGGATTTCAAATGTACATAAGAGAAATGACTGTTTCATGCAAGTAATCTTGCTAAAGAAAAACTATTTTGCCATTTAGCATCAGAGTAGGTAAACTGAGCCAGGCAGGCATCTAACAGGTTCTATAATGGTTTACTGTATGTTAAAATCTAAATCAAAATAAAAATACTAAGATTGGTTATGAAATATAGTAATTCACAAGCAGCTACCACTGGATTAATATGAAATACATAAAGACATGGTTTCATTTTTAACTTGTCATAAGAAACTGTTCTTGTAAAATTTCAAACTAGTTAACTAAGAAAAAACAATTTGTTTTTAAGCTGGTTAAATAAGATAGAATCCAAAAACATCTTTATAGTGCCAACTATTCCATAGTGACTATGTGGTCATGATAAAGTAAGGCAATTCAGGCACAGAATACCTCACAGATGGCAGGGATTAAATGTTTTTATTTTCCAATTAGAATAGAACTTTCTTTCTTTCACATCTGCTCCATGCTTTCCTTTGTGCTTTTGCTCATTCTGTTTCCCTTACTTGAAATGCTTTTTCCAAACTACCTCCAGACATTTCTTCTTGCATTCTAAAAGATCCCCATTAATATCTCTTCCCATCACTCTCTGTTCTTTGCTCTTACAGCACTTTCTCCTGTTACAACATTTCAGCTGTTCTACCTTCACAATACCATAAGATCCTTGGAAAGCAGAGATTATGCCCTTCTCATCGTTTTCTCTCTCGTAACTTCCTGAGCAACACACAAATACAATCGACTGATTTAATTTCCTGAAAAAAATCTAATTCAGCAAAAATTCTATTTGGAAGGCTGAAACAAAATATTCGGTAGATATTTTAGAGGAAAAGGTATCAGTGGGTTGGGAGAAAGAATGTTTTAGACAGGGATGGAAGAGAGCAATCAATACAGCTGCCAAGGGACTTTGGACATAGTGAACCAAAAGGACGAAGTAAAAGGAAATTTTATGTGGAACAGACATTCAAATTCTCGTAGAACCCAGATTCTCTGGAGCCACTTAGGCTGGATGAAACCTAGAAATTACTGACCTGAGATAATCTTTAAACTTTAAACCAAAACGTCTTTATCCCCTAACTTCTTTAAAACAACAAAAGTCTAGCTTAATTAGTCAAGAATGTCTGTCTTGAGCACTGTGCTCTTTTAACAACTATGTATATGGGATCAAATTGGGCGTAGTGAGTTTATGTTAGTGGGGGAGGCACAATTCTGAAAAGGAAAGAATGGTTGCACCACTTGATGAATATAATCAATGTCACTGAATCGAACATGGAGAAATTTATTAAACTGACATATGCTCTGCTGTGTGTATTTTCAACAACAAAAACAAATTATTATTATTATTGTTAAATATAAATGTAAGCATCATCGTACTGAAACAGAGTAGCCACATGTGGATACACGATCTCTAGTGAGTATATGAATGTGTAATTGTGGTAGAATGCAGTAGTTGAATGAGATCTAGATAGTCTATGATGTCTGCATATTGTTAATTCAGCTAACCTTACATTATTTTAACAGCTTATAATTTATTTTTAAATATAGTCAAGTGTTCTTAATTTTTATATGATAACATGCACTGAGACAAAGATATCTTGTTACAGAATTTAAAATCGTACCTACTTTTTTTTTGTTAGCTCATGAATGTTTTGAGAAACTACAAGGAGGTTTTTGTGGAGTAGTGCCAATGGCAGTAGTAGAGGTCACAGAAGGAATAACAGAATTTAAAAATAAACAAATTGTTTTAAAAAATAAAAGAAAATTTTAGTTAGAGGAAAGTAAACCAAGTTTCAAAGGGCAGATTGTAACCAATTTAATCTTAACAAAGGCAACATTGACTAAAATCAAACAAAATAAAATCCTGCTATCTTGGCCTTAATTTTTTTTAAGAAAAGAAAGAAAAGTTTTGCTATTAAATAAGCATTAAACCAGAATGGGATACATCAAAGGCAATCACTAGAGATTGCCTATCTTGGTCTTTAGGAACAAACGTATCAAATGAGAATCCTATACTTGTTGTTATGTGCCATCGAGTTGGATCCCACTCATAGTGATCTCTCCTTGGGTTTCCAAGGTGGTATCACTACGCAAGTAGATTACCCAACCTTCCTTCCGAGGACTGGCTGGGGGTTTAACCACCAGCCTTCTGGTTAGCTGTCAAATGCTTTAGGCACCACGCCCCCAGAGCTCCTATCCTATACTTACTCTCTCTTTATTTGGCATTCAGTTTTCAGTCATAATCTGGCTTTCACAAACATCATTACTGAAAATGTCCTCCTTAAATGATCAAGCATATCTAGGCAAAAGGGAATATACATGTTCTGGTTACCTAGTGCCGCTCTGGAAAGAATATGCCACCAATGAGATGGCTTTATCAAACAGGAGTTTATTCTCTAACAGTCTGGAGGCTTTAAGTCCAAGTTCAAAGTACCAGGCTCCTTGGGCTTCAGTTCTGCCTCCTACTCCCTGCCCACTGAAGCTGAGGCTTTTCTTCACTCAGGTGCTGGCTGCTAAAGTGACAAGCCCAAGGTTGACAAGTAATAAGGCACAGTCCTGATGCTACCAAACAACATGGCAAGCCATTAATTCAAGCCCATTGAAAGTCCCAAGGTCAGCAGAGCATGGCAGGCTCCTGAACAATGACACAGCTATATGCAGGGTTCAAGCGTGCCGTAAGCTAGAGAACATTTCCCAAGGTTTCTCCTTATATACAGAAAGCAGACCACATCCCTAAGGCAGCTACTCAGCTGCTCACAGTAGAATCCACCATGTACTTGATTACCAGTCTCATGATGGGGAATACTACATCCAGCTGCCCAGCCACTCAACCAGGCCTAGCGAAGTTGACACACAAACTTTACCATCACAATACCCATGACCATATAAAAGTTTGGTACATGGTATTTCTACATATGTATTTGTATGTGTTATAAAAATGCCCATATATATAATAGAGCTAATGGCTCAAAGTTATTATAACTTCTGAGCCACAGCCAAACATCAAGGGAGTGAGTCACTGGGCCCATGGGCTCGGGACCATGGTCATGCCCCCATAACTGGCATAATATACTACACAAAAACATTGTTCTACATCCTATTTTGGTGAGTAGCAACTGGGGTCTTAAAAGCTTGCAAACAACCACCTAAGATGCAACAATTGGTCTCTCCTCCTCTGGAGTACAGAAGAACGAAGAAACTAAAGACACATGGAAATAATGAGTCCAAGGGACTAGGGGACCATATGAACCTCATGACCCTGAGAATAAAGAACTAGATGCTGCCCAGCTACCACTGTAAACCACTGGAAAGGGATTGGTAGGAGATCCTGGATAGAGTAGGAGGAAAAAGTGGAACAAAACTCAAAATCATAAAAAAGACTGGCCTTACTGGTCTGACAGAGACTGGTAAAACCCCTAAGACCATGGGCTCTAGCCACCGTTCGGGCCTGGAATTGAAATCATTCTTGTGGCTTCCAGCCAAACGACAGGCATATAAAGTGAATGGTTAAACCAGGCAGATACACTCCTTAACACAAAGATCAACAACAAAAAAGTCACCAATGACATTTTTACTACTAAATACAAAGTCCTTTCAGTTTCCATTCTACTGTTTGGTCATACTGACAAGGTTGGTAAAATTATTTGTCCTTGGGTTTTCAGGTTTGGAAAGTACTGGGTCTCCTCTAACCTCTCAGCAATCACTTTCAGTTGCCCTTGTTGGCGCTTCCTTCACTGCCTCTTAATCTGTGATGCTTTTCAAGGTTCTGTCAGAGGGCTTCTTTATACTTAATATATTTAAGCCATGGTGGCGTAGTGCCTAAGGCATTTGACTGCTAGCCAAAAGGCTGGCAGTTCAAACCACCAGCCACTCTTTGGAAGGAAGGTTGGACAATCTACTTCCATAGTGATACTGCCTCGGAAACTCAAGGAGGGGTTGCTATGAGTCGGATGCAACTCGAAGGCAGTGAGTTTGGTTTTTTTTTTGTTTGTTTTCAAGTGAACCATACATTTATCAGCTTTTTTTTTTTCTTTT